CAGTGACAGTATCAAAGACTCCCATAACATTTGGACTTGGGTTTAAAAAAAAAAAAAAACACTTTATTCACTTGTGACTGCTTTATTTTCATTTCAGAGAATTGTTAATGAAGCTGAAGATTTGCATTTCTCAAACGGCTCAAACCAGACACAGTATTCACAGTGTTCATATTAAGTAAATAACTCATATCTAGGAAGAAGAAAAAGAAAGTAGGCTACAAAGGAAACAAGCAAACTCAAAAATATTCTGATTTACAATAGCTTCGAGGTTACATAATCCTCCAAGTCTCCATTTCACTAAATTAGGTCAGCTTTTGACACCAGCATCATTTTCCCTGACTTTTTTCAATCCTGCTGTAGCAGAGATCCAGGTGCAGTTGTGAGTGACCTACTTAACTAGAATTTGTGGGGCCCTCAGACAGAAACGTGTGGTGTTTTCATTCTATTTTGCTCAACAGACCTCCTTAATGAACTGAATCTCTAATTCAGCCAGCTAAAAACCACACATCTTAAGCAATTCCCAAATCCAAATATCCAGGTTTAATTATACTCATGAGTGTACATTCAAATGTGGTACAGGCAAAAGAGCGATGGATGAATCAGGTGTGAGGGCCTGTTGGCTCTCAGTCCCACTCTTTTGCTGACCCCAGTGCAATCATGGCACATCCCTCACCTTCCAGAGCCTCAGTCTTGTCACCTTGGTGAAGAGAAGGTTAGACTCTTGCATCCTTTTTGGCTTGACTCTCTATGAAGATTTCCTGAGCACCTACCAAGGATAAGGCGCTAGATATAAGGGTAGAGGAGGTACAAAGATGAACTGACATTGCCCTATCTTCAAGAACTTTCCACTCCATGAAGGAAGAGAGGATCACACAGAACAAAACCAAATGCTTAGTTATCTTATTTATTCCTCAGGATTGGCATTGTGCCTGGCACACCATAGAGGCTGCATGTGATGGGAGAGAATCCGGAATGGTTCACAGGTGTTCTATCTGAGTTGGCTTTTAAAAGGCCATTCAACTCTCAGGGGCTCCCTGATACCATTCTCCAATGTGATTCAAAATCTTAAGCCAGCGTTCAAGGTTCTCCTCGTTCTGGTCCCAACATACCATTCAAGCTCCATCTCTCTTACCCAGAACTATGCTATAGCCTTGCTGTACCTCAGATATTACCCATAACTTTCTACTTCTTTGCTCACATTCATGCCATCCCTCATCCTGACATGTCCTCCAATCTCAACACAATCCAATTCCGTTATCCCTCAACATTTCGAATTTCTCCTGTTTTATGAAGGCAGTCTTAAGCCTTTCCTGACTCCTCCAATCATACGTTCTCTCTCCCTTCTTTGAAATTCCACAAGATCTACTGACATTCCTGTTATGGTACATTTGCCACTTAGAACTCCATTACTGCCAGGTAATGTCTTTGTCTCAAGATAATAATCTGTGACATTAGATGCTACGTTATTCATCCATGTTGCCAAACAAATGGTGGGTATTCAGTAGATTATTTGACAAGACAAATATAGAAAAGACAATCTAGGACTCAGAAACTGAATAAACAGTGGCAGTAAATTAGTACATTTGTGGCTTCTGCCTAAAATGGTGACTATTGCAGTTTGATTCTTGAACGTAGGGTTTAGTTGATAGAATCACAGTGGTTAGAAGTTTAGAAGACAGGCTGGATTCAGATTTCAGAGCCTTGAATGCCAGGGTAATAAAAATGGCATAGGGCACCTGGGTAGCTCAGTCGGTTAAGCATCTGCCTTAAGGTCAGGTGCATTGGGCTCCCTGCTCAGTGGGGAGGCCTACTTCTCCCTCTCCCTCTGCCTGCCGCTCTGCCTACTTGTGTTCTCTCTCTATCTCTCTGCCAAATAAATAAATGAAATCTTTAAAAAAAATAAAATAAAAATGGCATATATTTAGTTCTCAATGAGTCACAGATGGTTTCAGGAGCTGGAGAGTAACAAAACCTGAGATAGGAAGATCAAGCCAGAAGCATTCCAGTTAATGCATCAGTCTCCTGGGAACTGGGATGGAAGTAAGTCCATCTCTGAAAGAAGAATCGAGTCTTGCTGTGCTGATAAAATTAAGTGCATGAACCTATAGATCTGTGAGTCCTGGAAAAGTCACTAAGCTAAATACTGCTTTGTAGGCTTCCTGGCAACCTGGTATTTTAGTACCCACCTCAATAAAAGGAAAGAGACCCACACCAAAGCATCATTACTAAATTTCCAAACTGATGAATAAGAGAATATTTGATATTTTTCCAGAGAAGGGAGACGGGAACAGAATACAAAGGAGAGGGAATCAAAATAGCTTTGGATTGTCCAGCAATAACAGCAGAACCTAGAAGACAGAGGGAAAATGTCTTTCAAATTCCGAAAGAAAAGCATTTCCCACCTAGAATTCTATGCTGAGCCAAACCATGAACGAAGGTAAGGGTAAAATGAATACATTTTCACACATACAAAGTCTCTGAAAACTTACCTTCAGAACACACTGAAACAAAAGTCTAAACCAAGAAAGAGAAAAATAAGGCATAGAAGAAACAGGAAGGGCGCCTGGGTGGCTCAGTCAGTTAAGCATCAGACTCTTGATTTCAGCTCAGGTCATGGTATCGGGGTCATGAGACTGAGCCCTGCATCGGGCTCCCCACTCAGTGGGAAGTCTGATTGGGATACTCTCTCTCTTCCCCCCCCAGCCTTTCCCCCCAGGTTCTCTCTCTCTAATAAATAAATCTTTGAAGAAGAAGAGGAAGAAGAAGAAGAGGAAGAGAAAGAGGAAGAGGAAGGGGAGGAGGAGGAAGAGGAAGAGGAAGGGGAGGAGGAGGAAGAGGAAGAAGCAGCGGGGAGCCAACACAAGAGTAAGGCATAGGGAACCCCCAGAACAACAGGGAGCCAGGACAGCACCTGTGTACCCAGCAAAAAGGGCAAGCACTGGAGACTGGAGCAGGTCAGGAATCTCGGGGAGACGGGATGTGTTAACTTTCTGTCTTCGCTCTCTAACTTGCTCTTCCTCTTACATGATTTCCAAGGTCTATCAATGTTGGATGCTCAGAGCTCCGGGACATCCATTTCCACCGTTGTGTAGTGTCACACTGAGTTTATATATATCACACTTCATTTGACCATTTTTCTCTGTTGGACATTTGGGTGATTTTTAAAACCTTACTTAGGACAAACAATGCAATAAGCAATCCATGTGCATGTGTGAGATTTCGTGAGGCTTCATACCTAGCAGTGGGATGATCTGGTATGAATCTATGTTGACTGGATATTGCCAGACCAATATCCAAAGTGGTCATATCACGGTGGCAGCCTTTCAAACAAAACTTTAAAAAAAAAAAAAAGATTTTATTTATTTGAGAGAGAGAGTGAGCGAGAGAGAGAGAGCACGAGTGGGGAAAGGGGCAGAGGGAGAAGCAGACTCTCCACTGAGCAGGGAGCCTGACCGGGGGCTCGATCCCGGAACTCTGGAATCATGACGGATGCCCAAATGACTGAGCCACCCAGGCGCCCCTAAACAAAACTTTTTAACATGTTATACATGCACAGAGACCTCCAGTATTCCCAAATAACATGCTTAGATTTTACTTCTTGACTTTTCAGTTTTAGACAGTAGATATGGATTCTTTCTATAGAAGATGAATATTCAACTCTCCCTCACCCCTGCCCACCCCACTCAATTTCTCACCCCCATAACCTTCCCCAAAAGTTGTATCATTTTAGATAGATTAGTAATCAGTGTTGACATCATTATGTCATCTCAGTGAGCCATGTCATATACTAAGATGACTTTTCCCCCATAGCCTGTTTGCCCTGGAGTCGCATCAGATTTCTCAAAGAAATGTCTCACCATTAAAATCAACGGCTATGGGGCGCCTGGCTGGCTCAGTCGTTAAGCGTCTGCCTTCAGCTCAGGTCATGGTCCCAGGGTCCTGGATCGAGCCCCACATCGGGCTCCCCGCTCCGTGGGAAGCCTGCTTCTCCCTCTCCCACTCCCCCTGCTTGTGTTCCCTCTCTCGCGGTGTCTCTTTCTGTCAAATAAATAAATAAAAATCTTAAAAAAAATCAATAGCTACACTTGGCAAGGGGGTGCAGCAGCGATGTGATGGCTGCTTCTTGCCTACAGCAAGGGGAGACCAGACTCTCTTGGTGGTTTCAGGCAGAGACCCCAGCCCAATCTCTAAAGGAAGAGTGTGGAAGTCTCCCTCTCTGTCCCTCTCTTCACACACATACACACAAATACAGATACACATTCACACCACTCTAAAGCAGATTTGCTTTCATTGACTTCCTAACTGATCAGCTTTGCCTATATTTGGTCGAGTCTGCTCATCTGTACCCTCTTGCCCCCTCCACTCAACCCCCAGGAGCTCTGTATTTCCTGCCACCCCCGGCAGCTTGCTAATTCCCCTCGCTGGGTTCGATTGCCCTCAATCCCAGCAGGACATACAATCAGCCTCAGGAAGTGATAAATACCAACTCACTCTCGATATTGTTCAGCCCGTGCTGAACAATATTTTTATTTTTATTTTTTAACAATATTTTTATTTTTATTGCTGATTAATCTGACTAATGAAATAAAGAACACCGTGTTAGCAAATGCCCAATTAAACATTTGTTAAGGTCATCAAAATCTCCTGGCTTATTATCGCAGGTGACATTCTGAATTGATGTCAGCAATAGAATCAATACCCAATTCCCTAAATACCAAATTCAGTAAGTACAGTGTCCAATTGTGAAAGGATGAGAGGAAATATCCCTTCTCTTCCAGAATTACCAAGGGCCAGCCAACCCACCTTTATGTTGGTGAAGCCTGTTTATTTCTTGTATCTGCTAAATGCTCAGGCCTCTCACAGAACAAATGCAAAGGAAATCAGGCATGTCCCATATGTCCAAGGGGAGCTCCACCTTCTCTTCCCTGAAGGTAAGCAGTAAGTCAGCTTTGGAGTAGGATGTCAGCAAGCCGTGGGAGACAGGCAAATGCCCTACTTACCATAGAAGAGGAATGCTTTGGTCATGGGATGATGTAGGAAGGTCCGGTTGATGGTGAAGAAACACGCATCTGCCCCGCACTGGCCGAGTCTTCCAGTCTCCCCAGTCAGTGGGGACCACCAGAGCATGATGGGGTAGCTATCAGTTTCCAGCTGGGTTTTCCTATCCAAGGTCAGTGCTTCTTTTCCAGGGAGTGGATAGAGATGCGCAGGCTCCTCTTCCATCTTTGCCTGTCCATCTCGCAAATTGGAACTTTTAAACTTCTTCCTTTCAAATTTTCCCAGTTCAACCACTACCTGAAAGAGAAGACAAGTATTACAGAGTCAGATGGTTTCATTGCCTCTTGCACGTCTCCCGTTCATCTTGATGATGAAGCCTTGTTTTAGTTTTCTATTGCAGCTAGAACAAATCACCACAAACTCAGCAACTGAAAACAACGCATTTATTGGGGTGCTTGGGTGGCTCACTTGGTTGAGCATCCAACTCTTGATTTCCACTCAGATCATGATCTCAGGGTCTTGGGATCGAGCCCTGCATCGGGTCCCACACTCAGTGAGGAGTCTGCTTGAGATTCTCTCTCCCTCTGCCCCTCCCCCCGTTGTCTCTCTAAAATGTAAATAAATTAAAAAAAGAAGAAGAAGAAAAAAGTAACCAACACATTTATTACTGCATAGTTCTGGAGGTGAGAAGTCTGACCTGAGTCTCACTAGGCTAAAAGCAAGGCGTCAGCAGGGCTACATTCTTCTCTGGAAGCTCTAGAGAATCCATTTTCTTCCTTTCCTATCTTTTAGAGACACCCACCGCTTGGCTCGCCACCCTTTCTCCATCATCAAAGCCAGCAATGTTGCCTCTCTCTGATGCTTATTCTGTTGTCACATCTCTGTCTGACCACAGCCACAGAAGAGTCTTATCTTCTAAGGACTCATGTCATGACACTGGGCTCACACTGATAATTCTGGAAAATCTCCACATCTCGAAGTGTCTCACCTTAATCCCATCTGCAAGGGCCCTTCTGCCACGTGAATTTACATACCCACAAGTTCCAAAGATTAGGGTGCTGACAAAATATTTATCAACAAGCATGCTTAATTCTACTAAACACATGCCAGCTACATTTCTGCATTTCAGCGGCATATAGAGTATCTGGAAATAGTTCTGTCTCTTTATGAAACCCGTGAGAGTCAGGGCTATTATCTGGCTCTTACTCGAGACTGCATTCTAGGGAGAATTCGTTATAAGTCACCAACTGGTTTCTTTTTATTACAGTTAAAAGAGTCATAACACAAGTCTTCCATTTCTAATAATTTCTACTGCGGCATCAAGTGAAGTCTACCATGAGTACTGGGCTCCCTTCCATGTAAAGCCACGTTTCTTTCTTTCTTTTAGGATGCACTGGGTCACTGGATAGCTAGGCCATCAGTAATAGGAGTCTAGAGGGCAGGGCGGGCAGAGCAGACACAGATGGACAGTGGTTCCCCACAAGTGATAGAAGCTCAGAAATGACATGCATACCAAAAACATGACAATGTCTTCTGACATCAAAAGAAAAACTCTTAGGGATGCCTGCGTGGTTTAGTCGGTTAAGTGTCTGCCTTCGGCTCAGGTCATGATCCCAGGGTCCTGGAATCGAGTCCCGTGTCGGGCTCCCTGCTCAGCGGGGAGCCTGCTTCTCCCTCTCCCTCTGCTCCTCCCCCCTGCTCGTTCTCTCTCTAGCTCTCTCAAATAAATTTTAAAAAATCTTAGAAAAAAAAGAAAGCTCTTAGCTTCGACACAGCCATTCCTCATAACTGAAAAAAGTGCCAAAGTAATTGGTAAGATCAAAGCTCTGGTAACTTCCCACAGAGACTAGAGAACTCCAGCCCCTCCCGCACAAGCCTGGACACCCACAAGTCAGATGAAGAGGGAGTCAAGTATTTCTTCCAACCAGAATCCTGATCTGGCAGCAGAAGGTGGCAGAAGTCCAGCGCCAGCCTGTGTGTCAAAGTGCTTTTACATGCATTATCTCATTCAATCCTGATCAAGAGGGAAAAGCCCAGAGAATAATACCTCTGTTTCCATCAGTCCCCACACCTGAACTGCTCACATCCACAAATAATCTTTAGAAGTCTTTTGAATTTCCAAATGGACAGCTGGTGCTTGAATGGGTCCAAACTATATCTGAATTCATATCTATACTTTTTCTATTGCTGTGTCATTTTTACTTTAATTTGAAATCAGTAATGAACTTCAGAATCACCGACAAAATGAAATAGATGGGAAGACTAAAAAATGCTGCAGTTCAAACACCCACATTCAGGGACGCCTGGGTGGCTCAGTCGGTTAAGCCTCCACCTTTGGCTCAGGTCATGATCCCAGGATCCTGAAATCGAGTCCCACATCGGGCTCCCTGCTCAGGGGGAAGTCTGCTTCTCCCTCTCCCTCTGCCTGCTTGTCTACCTCCTTGTGATCTCTCTCTGTGTGTCAAATAAATAAAGAAAATCTTTAAAAAAAAAAAAGAATGACAAATGTATTAATGCGGATTCTTGTGTTCCACAGAATGGATGAGCTTATTCTTAGAATACACATGGCTTCTTCAAGAATGCCATCTTTCAGAAGTCATTGTGATAGGGGGCTTTGAGAAATCCATCTACATTTGACCCAGTAAGACAGACTGAGCTCTACTTTCTCTTCTTCTAGAACCAGGACCCTACAAGAGTCACAAATTGACCCCCTACTCACTGATTTTGTCTCTACCTGACACACCCACTCACTAAACCTCAGTTTTATCTATTGACAAAAAAAGTATTTCCCCTGCCTTAGACAGAAAACCCCCCGATCCTGAGAGATTAAGCAAAAAGTAAAGTACTTGGAGAGAACAGGGGTGGGTTGAGGGCGGGAAGGTTGGAATGGCTCAGCAATCGACACTAAGCAACCCAAATTCTTGCTACCTGGAGTGTGACAAGCAGAAAGACGGAGGCTGGGATGCATAGGCAAGATGCCAAAAGCTTCCTCCTCTGAATCCACACCATGCTGCCCGGCCCTGGGTGACTGACAGAGGGCTAGCCTGGTTACCAGGTGTGCTCGAGTCGGCCCACAGCCCAAAACAACTTCACGTGGAGGAACCATCTGGGTGCAAATTTCTTCCACTGTCATTCCTGCTGGGACTTGGTCTCCATGAAGGACTGAGATCCCAGGTTCTGCAGGGGCCTGGCTTGGCATCGAGCGGGAACAGTATACAGTCTTCTTAACCTATCAACAGAGCAGCTGGAGATTCTTCAAACCAGAAGGCATCAAAAAATTCTGTAACAAATGAATAATTTTTTAGCCATAGTGCAGAAGATTTAATAAATGTAGTCTTTCAGGGTTATCACATAGAAACCTCACACTTTAAAACTAAAAGGAACCTTTGAGATCTGAGATACCTCACTCCTAGATAAGGAAACCAAAATCAGAGAGGCAAAGTGACTTGGTCAAGGTCACACAGCCCATCAGAGGACTGTGACAGGTCTACAATTAGGTCCTGAGTCTAAAATTCTGTTTCCACTTAATTTTCTCTGCCATCAGAAGATTGAATTCCACAAGTCACGTACACGTAGTCATTTTCTTCTACTTAGGTTTCAAAGGGGTAGAAAAGTGGAATAGAAATTACCATGATTGGGGTACCTGGGTGCCTCGGTTGGTTAAGCTTCTGACTCTTGGTTTCGGCTCAGGTCACGATCTCAGGGTTGTGAGACCAAGCTCTGTGTTGGGCTCCACACCGAGCGCAGAGTGTACATCCCCCGTGTGTGTTCTCTCCCTCTCTCTAAAAAAAAAAAATTCCCAAAATTATCCACCCACTCCTGTAAAATTTAAGGAGAAAATAAATAAAAGTTCAGGCTTGGTTTGAAAATAGATCATGATCAATTGACCCAAACTTTCTCTAAGGAAAACAACTTCCACCACAACATAAGGAATTCTGATTATTGATATATTTGTTCAGTCTTTTACGGCAAGTGTAACAAAGCAGTGGGTTGTGTGAACAATACGATTCTCTGGAAGTTCTGAAATAAGATTTCCATCTGTCTGAAATGTATGATCTTTTCAAAAAGTTTTAAAAATGAACTAGAGTTCTAGGGGCGCCTGGGTGGCTCAGTTGGTTAAGCGACTGCCTTCGGCTCAGGTCATGATCCTGGAGTCCCGGGATCGAGTCCCACATCGGGCTCCCTGCTCAGCAGGGAGTCTGCTTCTCCCTCTGACCCTCTTCCCTCTCATGCTCTCTATCTCTCATTCTCTCTCTCTCAAATAAATAAATAAAATCTTTAAAAAAAAAAAAGAAAAGAAAAAAAATGAACTAGAGTTCCAAAGAATGCCTTTTATTCCCAGGGCTCTGTGCAGTCAAAAGTCTCGGTCAAATGACCCTGTGGAGTTTCAGAACAGAGCAAGGATCAACATTCCTGAAGCTGCTTTATAGTACCCCAAACATCTGGCTCTAAGATCTGATTGTACATCTCCCAGATACAGCATTAAAGGTATAATTAGAAATATAAAAATGATGTAGAATTCTGGTTAAAAACATTAGCCTTAAAGGTGTACTCCCCTCCCATGCATCTTCCTTGATTTACTTTAAGTCCAGGATAAGTCTTTCAGCAACAAAATGACTCTTGGTTTCAGAAATCACCAACTGTGTTTTTCCTCTTTTCCCCATGGAACTCCTGCAATCCATAGTAACTAAGAGAACAGCTCTAGAGTCAGCCCCCCAGGATTCAAATCTCAGCTCCCCAGCTGGTTTAACCTAGCCTCTCAATATCTCGATTTCCAAAATATAGATAATAAGGGTACCTAATCAGAAAGTTATTGAGAAGTATATGAGATGAGATTACTAAAACACTTACTCAGAGTGTGGTACATAACTGTCCAATAACTATTTGCTATCTTATTTTTAAATATTCATTATAATTTTTATTATACTTTTAAGTGTAAAATGAAGCTGAATTCATATAAAGTATGTTGCCGCCCCATCCACTGGAACTTCAAAAGGAGAAACACTCATTTTGCCAAAGTAAAGGAGATCACTAATATTTGTCAAGTGACCTATTGTAAGCGAGGCCCTTCCTAAGTGTTCAGCATGCATGAGATCATTCAATCCTCCCACAACTCTATGAAGGAAAAATTGCTGTCCTCATTTTTAAGGATGAGAAAACCCAATTTGAAAAAAGTAAATTAACTTACCCAACACTACAACTTCATAAGTACTACAACCAGAAACTAGTTAGACTCTGAGGTTCATGCATTCTTTTATATTTTTTAACACTAAGACTATAAAATTCCCACCCAATAATACTAACACAGATTATTTGCCTTCATCAGAGAAAAAAAAAAACCTGTATAGAATCGCTCTCGGTCAGCTGGTATACCAGAGAAAAAAGTAACAAAAATCTGTAAGAACCTGAAAATTGTCTTCCCTTCTACTCAGTTGATGCTAGTAGCTATGAACTACCTAACATGTGGAGCTAGCACTTAGGGTTTCAATCCTGGCTCTGTCATTTACACATAATATAAATTTGGACAAGTTACTAAATCTTTCTAAGCTTCGGTTTCATCACAATAAAGAATAAACGTTCGCTGTCATTATTTCTTTCCCTTGCATTACAGGAAGATGATCCAATTTCTGTTTTATATGCAAAGGCTATTTATTTTAGCTAGAATTAATGTAACCCAGATTAGATAATGAATTATTACCACCTTAAGTGGGTATAAAACTCTATCATCTTCAGAAGATTTTCACATCTATCACTCCCCTCAATCTTACTGATAACCACTTTGTAAAGTAAGCAAGGTAGGTTTTATTCTCAGTTCCCACAAATAAGGAAACTGAGCCTCAGCGAGTTTAAGTGATTTGCCCAAGATCATAGTTTTTATAGGTTGAAGTGGGTCTAGAAATCAGGTCACCTGTCTTCAGGCTCATAGGAAAGGAAAGAGATGGAGAAAATAGTGACCACTTGTTAGGAGTCAAAGAGGGTCAGTAATAAAGGAAAACAAAAGATAGGATGAGAATGGGAAGATATAGTTCGGGGTATTTTTACAGCTACCACAATGCTGTCCTAGGGTCTGTCCTAGGTAGGGCCTTTTTAAGTCTTGACATGGCTGTATGAACTATGACAGAGGGATTTAAGGTTACAAATTCCCTTTCATCCAAAGAATTTCAATTTAGCTTATACCCACAAAGCCAGAGGTATAGTGAGGTATCAGGGACTGAGCTGTGGTTAAATGCCCACCACTATTCTAAAGAACAGAGCCAGTTAGTGTAGATGGTACTACAATTTATAGCATGCAGCTATCAACCAGACCTTGGGGCACATCAGTCTAATATGTGGTATCAATTACACCCAGGAGCTTGTCATCCAGTCACCAGTGCCCCCACTGGTGGAACAGATGAACTTGCTGAGAGCATGGCGAAAGTCAGTAAGCGCCATGCAATGGAGCTCCAGGAGGAAAGCTCCCTTCTGTTTCATCACTGCCCACAGGGTGAATCTCAGAGTCCACCAAGAGGGTGTCCCAGAACACTCCATTCCTGGATTGAAGCAATGTGTGCTTGTTCAGACAACCATGGTAGGTAACATCTGAAACGGACACTTGCTAACCAACCCTCTTGACCCTAGAGCTGAACTTCTGAAATGCATTTTTTGGCTTGTGTGCACTGCCTGGGGCTAGCCATCTGCTGCCCAGAGCGGGGTCCGAAGCTGAGCGTGACTAGCTCACATTCCTGCAAGCACTAGTCCATCAAAACCAGCAATACCTTCACCCTAAAATAATTTCAAATTTCTCCACTTTGTTTTGAATTAAAATGGACGGAGGAGGGATCTTAGAGCAAATTAGCAGTCTGAGGATGCCAGCTTCAAATTTCAGCCTCACAGTGCCAGTCCAAGGTATAGGTTAAGGGTCTCAGAAATGGGACTTAGAAGATGATTTCTGCCCTGCATCTCTGAGTATAAAATGAGAAGGTAACCCTGGGAGACGCATGGGGTTTTCTGACCCTGACACTTTATGTGTGTGTCTCTCTCTCTCCCTTCCTGTCCGCATGGCAAGGAAAAAAGGTGAGGGAGAGGCTGGGAACTCTGGGAAGGCTCTTTTGATTGTCTCTCCTCTAGTCATTGGTGGGTCAACTGAGTTAATAAGCGACTGTCTAAACAGAGCTTAAGGTTAGACCAGGGAGAGTCTTTAAAAGGAATGTATCTAATTACCAAGCTTAAATTATACCCACTAAGGTGTAATTTCTCAAGTAGGTTTGACTCTCCGAAAGTATGTTTTCATTTTATAACCTATAAATCCTCACAATATCCCTTAAACAGGACTGTCCTAAGAAAAACAGATGATGGCAGGCTGGTGAGAAGATCTAAGGGCCTTTGGACGACTCTCCAGGAGCTTTTCAACCACTGCCTTCAACTACTTGTCCTCATCAACACTCCTCTTTCATTCCTATTTGGTTTCTCTAAAAGCCTGACAACTGGTGTTCCTACCAGTCTGACCCCTTGCACTCTCCACTTCGCTATAGAGTTGTTTCTGGGATGTAAACTGGATCTCTCTCCTCTGATTACGATCCATCAATGGTTTCCCACAGATTTCAAGATTAAGATCAAGTGCATTAGCTCCGAAAACAAGACTCCCTCTACCCCGCCCTACTTCTCCAGCTTCTGCCACACATAGCCTTTGTTCCGACTGTTCCTGGAGTGTAGCTTCCTGTTCTGTGCTCTAGTCCCTACCTAACACATCCACACCTCCTTCACTAGCCCAGCCGTTCTCCTAGACTCTCCGGGCCGCCTGCTTTGGCCAGCCTTACCCCTCCCAATGCCAAGTTGGGAGATCTAGGTCCATATCATTGTGCTTGTTTCTATCACAGCAGTAGAAAGAATGCAGGAAGCTGGCAGATTTCAGGAAACTTTCTAAAGTTGCTTTATTGGATGCATATAAAACACTTGCCAAACATTAAAAAGTTGACATACTCTTTAATTTGCGGAAAACTTCCTTAGTGCCTGTGCCTGTTCCTTGCGCACATGGCGAACATGCCATGGTGGTCCATTTCCACTTTCATCCAATTTTCTTTATTGACATTTATTGGTGTTCATTTTCCTCACTCTTTTTAAAAAGACTTCATATTTTGCTAAGCATTTATTTTTACTAGAGTGCTTAGGGTTGCAGATTTCTATCTGGGAAGGTGATCCTCTTCCACCAAGCACACATTTCAGGTAAGACAGATAAATAAAGAGAGATGAAGGGATACTGGCAGTCACGTGAGGCCAGGCTGGTGATTAATGGTGGGGAGCAGGGGGAGAATTTGCAGCCAGAGACCTTCACATCTCTATTGTAGAACTGAAGGTGATGTCATTCTTAACACTTAAATTCTGGACATGCAGAAGCATTCAAATTATGTAGTATTAATATAACTTCATGTAGTGGTGCTACTTAATGAAGAAACTAACTTAAAACATTTCCAGACCAAAAAAGCAAAAAACAGAAAAGATTGATATGAAGCCTCACACAGAAGTGTTCAAAGGGAATAGGTTTTTTTAAGTAAAGGTGAGGGCACAAAATTGTGAAGATTCTGTATTACACCAAGAACTTGGTTTCCAAAGAGCAAGACTTTCTCAATCTTTCTCCTTGGAAGGTCTTCTTAGTAACTGTTCTTTCCCCAAGAAGAGTTTATTGGTTACGATGCAACAATCTTCCTACCTGGAAAAAGATGTGAATTGAAATCCCTCATCTGCTTTGGTCATTTATGTAATCATGAGTGAGGCACTGGTTAAATAACACTAACACAGTGTGGCTAACACTTCACATGCCCAAAGACAAAGGGCTGGACCAGGGGATCTCCTGGGGTTTCATCCCAAAATGAGGCTCTCCGATCCCACAAATAGTGTCCAGGAGCAAAAACTCGCCACGGAAGAAAGACCAATCAAGTAAAGAGATAGTCATTAAGACAGTCTGAGTCATCATAAACCAAGAGTCCTGTAAATATAAAGAAATATTTCTATATAACAAGTTTAGGGTTACTTTATCTTCATTCTCCTTTTTAGTAATTCAGCATTAACTTTTGAAAACTCAAAATTTTATTCTCAAAGAAATAAATACCTTAAAAATACTGTAAATAAAGACAGACATATATATTTTTTAATGTTTAACAACCCATGTTCAGAAACACTATAATGTTTATCGGGAAATGCTGGTAATTGAATTAGGTATTGCATTCCCACCGAAATCAACACTTTATATTCCACATTTAGAAAGCATTTAAACATGGGTTGGAAATGTCTGCATCTGAGCAATACTTACACATCTGTGAATAACATTATTGTTTGTCCAAACTATGTTCTTGTTCTTTATTTTCAAAATTTAACCCTAGTTTTAATTTTTTAATGTACTGTTTGTAGGATAAACAGTTCTTTTAAGTGAAGAATAAAAGATGAGCCATAATAACAGTAACAGTTAATGCTGTGTATTTAATTCACTGTTACACACTGCCATCTAGCAGGAAGCCCGCAAAGGAAGTTACTACAGCAGTATCAAAGATGGAGCTGACCTTAATGAACCTCTGACGCTAGGACAGTGCTTGTGGCTTGCAGACAGCAGGAGAAAGTTGTGAAATTGAGGTGAGGGTGCTTCTTGATTGGTGGGTCTGCCACTTTAGTGTGCAAATACCTGGGTTGCTTATTCGACGCGGATAGCTGGGACCCACCTGAAAGCCCCCTCCCTTTGAGAGACCGCAGGGTGGACCAGAAACGATGCCCTAGTTGTAGTGTGACATCGCGAGCAAGCCCAAGATTGGTCACGAGCTTCTGGGTTGTCTCATGTGGAGGGAAGGAAGGGCATACAAGGAGAATGAGGTCCTGAAGACCAACTTGCCATACACCCAGCCAGAGCGCAAGCACTCCGCAAATGAAATCAACCAGCCAAGTCACCGCACGCATTTTAGGGAGATGTGGCAGCGAGTAGGGGGGCAGTCTTTTGGGAGCTGTGATGTTAAGGAAAACAGTCCTTTTGCGTGACATTTGCTACATATTCAAGAATCATTAAAAGATGCCCAGAAAATGAAAGTCACATCGATGTTATTTCTACATCTTACACAAACTGAGGGCGCTAATCGGGTGAAAAATACCAAGAAATGTATTGCATATGGATAATGAAAGCCTGCCAGTCTTGGGGCTCCCTCCAGGGCATTTTCTCCGTGAAATACGCAATGCCCGCTATAGCTGGGCAGTCAGAATCCCTACCACTTCTGCACACAATTCCAGCAACAAGTGATTCTCAGAGAAGATGTGGGGAAGAAGGATGCAATTCTCAACACAACGTGGCGGAGTGAGCCTTTGGAACTGGAGGGGCTGGGAAGATCGTGGCAAAGGGGAGGGACGTGAAATCCCCCCAGTTGCCTTCCCCCGGCTCCTGCGGGGGCTCCGGCGCGTCACCGGCCTCCCACCTGTGCTTTTCCGGCCCCTGATAGTTTTACATTTCAGGCGGTGTCTCTGGAAAGCGCTGCCCAAGGTTTCCCAAAACAGACTTGGCTTCTTTTTCCGCGCACAACTCCGTCTTTCTCTGACACACACTCCCTTCTGGGCACAAAGAGGAGGTGTCCTGCGGCTGCGAATCCAGCGGGCGGCTTCCCAGCTTCCGTGCGCACCAGGAAGTCTCCTTTGATTTGTGGGCAGCAAGACCCTGTCCCCTCCAAGTATCACTCCAGCCTGAAAAGACCCAGTGCCTGCCACTCACCTTGTCTTGGGGTAGGAGGCTCGCTCCGCGGCCGAGAGCCCCGCGGTTTTCCACTTTCAGTTTGCGCCCTGCCCGAGCTGGGGCGAAGACTCGGAAAGGAGGTTTGGGAAAGGGGGGAAAACTCTCCGCACGCCCAGGCCCAGCGATCCTTGATCCAGGTTTTCGCCGGTGCCGGGTTTAGAATCCAGTCCGCAGGGGTTACCGGGAGCATCTGCTCCTCCCCTCACACGCGAGCCTACACATTTCTTGAAAGTTCCTGGGAAGCTCCTGAAATTCTCTTAAGTAAGTCGTGGAACACTTTCTGCATCTCAAACTCTGCTAGGACTGAAGCAAATTCAGTCACCTATTCAGGAAAACTGAGAACATGGTAAGCAGAGCAGAGACCTGGGTACTTTTCATCAGGTACCGTGTTTGGTAGACTGAGCAGGATGATCATTTGCCAGTAAAATGAAACTTCAGGCTACTGAATTCCAAATTCGGAGAACCCAAGTAGAATTATTTAGCTCTAGCCTGCAGGAAGGTGATAACACGTAGGGAGGTAATTCAAGACCTTGGTAGGGCCAGAGCTAGGTTGAGGCAAGTGAGGCATCCAAGGCTCAAAATATGAGGAGACACTGACTGAGCCATGTAAATGCTGGGCACACTTGCAGGAACCTGAGTCATCGCTGCCCTAGGCCTGCCTCACTGTAGTCCTGGCCCCGAGAGAGTTCCAGTGCCAAGCACCTCAATTAACTTCTCTGTAAAAACCAGTTGATGATAATAATGGTATCAACTTCAAGGAACACCAAACACAAAGGAAAATATTGATAAATTGGATATCATTGAAAGTAAATCCTGTTCGTCAAAGACACTATTGCTAGAAGGGAAAACAATCCAGAGTAGAAAATATTTGCAAAAGATTAAGAAAGAATTCATATCCAGAATATAGCCAAGAATGCCTACAATGTGATAAGAAAGAATTGAAAAAGCATCCTAATAAAAATCTCCTCTGGGAAGGAAGGGACCAAAGACTTATACAGTACTTAATCAAAGAAGAATCTGGCCAGTAAGTATGTGAAAAGATGCTTAACTTCTTCAGTCATCAGAGAAATGCAGATTAACACAACAGTTATATACTACTACACATCCACCCACCCCAAAATTCATGTGGAACCACAAAAGACCTGGAGTAGCCAAAGCAATCTTGAGAAGAACAAAACTGGAGGTATCACAATCCCAGATTTCAAGATATAAGGCCTATATTAATCAAATCACTATGGTACTAGCATAAAAATGCCACAGAGATCAATGGAACAGGATAGAGAGCCCAGAAATAAGCCCCACTCCTATATGGTCAATTAATTTATGACAAATGAGGCAAGAATATAACATGGGGCAAAGACAGTTGTTTCAATAAATAGTGTTGGGTAAACTGGACAGCTACATACAAAACAATGAAGCTGGACCGCTTTCTTACATCATACACAAAAATAAATTTGAAATGGAGTAAAGACCAAAATATGAGATCCAAAACCATAAAACTCCTGAAAGAAAAGATACGCAGCAATCTCTTGGACATTGCCCTTAGCAACATATTTATGGAGATGCCTCCCAAGGCAAGGGAAACAAAAGCAGAAAATAAAGGATTGGGACTATATCAAAATAAAAAGCTTTGCATAGCAAAGAAAACCATCAACAAAACAAAAAGGCAACCTAGTGAATGCAAAAGATATTTGCAAATGATATATCTAGTAAGGGGTTAATATCTAAAATATATGAAGAACTTATGCAACTCAACACCAAAAAAACAAACAATCCAATTAAAAAATGGGCAGAGGACCCAAATAGACAGTTTTCCAAAGAAGACATCCAAGATGGCCAATATGAAAAAAAATGTTGGAAACATGAAAAAATGTTCAACATCACTAATCATTGGGGAAATAAAAATCAAAACCACAATGAGATATCACCTCACACCAGTCAGAAAGGCCAGAATCAGACAAAAAATAACAAGTGTTGGTTAGGATCTGGAGAAAAATAGACCTCCTGTGCACTGCTGGTGGGAATGCAAGCTGGTGGAGCCACTATGGAAAACAGTATGGAGGTTCGTCAAAAAATTAAAAAATAGAACTGCCATATGATCCAATAATTCCACTTCTTGTTATTTATCTGAAGAAAATGAGAAACTAACTAAATTATATATATATTTATAATATATATATATTTATAATATATATAGATAGATAGATATACAGTTGACTCTTGAACAATGTGGGAGTTAGGGGCATGCCAACCCCATACATATTTGGTATATGTATTATATACTGTATTCTTACCATAAACTAAGCTAGAAAAAAAATGTTAAAAATCCCAAGGAAAAGAAAATACATTTACAGTACTGCACTTTATTTATTGAAAAAAAAATTCACATATAAGTGGATCCATACAATTCAAACCCATGTTTTTGAATGGTTAATGGTATGCACCCCCCGCATTCATTGCAGCATTTACAATACCCAAAGATATGGTAAGAACCTAAATGTCTATCAACTGATGAGTTGGGTAAGAAATGTAGTATATACATACAATGTATATATATACAAAATGTATATACACACATATATACATATATCACTTCCTCTACTTAAATAATTTGGGGAGTGTGGTGTGGTACACGTGGTATTATCTTTTGATTTCTTCCACATTATTATTTAAGCTTCATCTTTTGATTTATTTTTTAAGTAATCTCTACACCCAAGGGAGGGCTGAACTCACTACCTGGAGATCAGGAGTCGCAGACTCTGCTATTGAGCCAGCCAGGCATCCCTCTTCCATATTATTTTTAAACTCGATTTTAACATAAAAGGGCGTTGTATGTGTGATGATTGCCCTCTAAGTCTTTAAACCAGGAAAGGCAAGTAGATGAGTGAGAACAATCCAAACTGTTTCTTATGAAGCAATGTAAACTATGCATTTAACATACCACCAGCCATCATATATCCCCCCTTTTTCAAATGGGATTGTTTGCTAAAGGGTAACTTGCCTAAACATACTTAGTAAATAGCAGTTTGTTTTTATAACCTAAATTTGGCTCCAAAAACCACTGCCAAATCAATGGTTTCCAAGAGGTCGTTTTGTTTAAGATTTACTTATTTTTAGAGGGAGATTGACAGCGGAGGGGAGGGACAGAGGGAGAGGGAAAGAGAGACTCCTCAAGCCACATCCCCGCTGAGCAAGGAGTCCGGGAAGGGACTGGATTCCAGGACTCCGAGATCATGACTTGAGTCGAATCCATCAGTTAAGCCACAGCTTAACTGACTGAACCACCCAGGCACCCCTTTAACAGGGTGGTTCCAATTCATAGTTTTCACCTGTATGCAGCAAATACATTACTTATGATATGATTATTTTATAATGTGATATGCAAAGTAAGTGCCCATCCTTATTCTGAGATTATGCCTTTTTTTGCTCTTTTGGTATTAATCTGGCCTTTCTTGAGAAAAACGGTATGAGCTACTAAACGTTTTCTTTTTCCTGTCAAAAATAAAAAGAGGGGGACAAACTTAATCCTCCAATTTTTTTTTTTTTTTTGCTTTTAATATTACCCAATCCATAAATTTCAAAGGTCAAGACCCAGCGTCTCACCAAACAACAGTGCGTGCAAGGTTAAGCGAGAGGGAAGTGAGTGCGGGAGCGGGAGCGCGGGTCTCAGGTGAAGAGGGACCGAGTTCGAGCTCCACAGCCCCGGCGACGGCGGAGTAAAAGTAATGCAGCTCCCACGGCTAGGCGCTACGGGCCGGCGGGAGGCGGACCGCGCTTTCCTGAGCGCACCCCGCGACAGAGCAGGCCGGCCGCCGGCGTGGGCCAGCCAAACCTCAGGGTAGTCATAGACCGCGCTTTGGACAAGGGCGTGCCCAGCGACCTCCACCTCCGCGCCCCAGGCCTTGGCCGACTCCTGCGCGGAGTAGCAGGGGGCCGCTAACCGTGTTTACCGTCCCAAAGGGAGACCCGGAACAAGATATAGGCAGTAAGAACTGGCGGTGACGGACCGGACGTGTCGGTGAACGCGGAAGTTGCGCCGCCCAAGGGCACTACGCAAGCCCGAGAAATCAAAACTCTCGCGATAGGTGAGACTAGGCTCTCCGGAAGTGATTTTCCGGAAGAAGCATGGCTGCTCCCTAGATCTGGCCAGGCTTTGCATTCTGAACCGCGGACGCCATGCAGTCAGATGATGTGAGTGTCGTGTTTCTCTGCCACCTGGGTTCTCCCGCTTCAGGAGACTCAGAAGCCACTCAGCTGGCCCATCGCATTAGCCTTGTGTTGCTCCAGAACCGAGACTTCTAGAACCCCGATTTCCGAGCGTGGGGCTCTCACGTGTCTACTCGGGATCCCCAGCCCGCTTCCTTAGCTGGGTGAACGGGCTGGAACACCGTCACTTCAATCCACAGGGTTGGCTTATCCAGTCCATGGTACCCAGCAGTGAAGGACTTTGCCTGTGGTGTCACTGGACGTGGGAGGCAGGCGCGGGTGGGGGATGAGGTGGGGGTTGGTACAGCCAAGTTTGGACATGAAATTTAAGGCTCCCTTTCTTCCACGTGTATGTTACTTTTAAGTCTGCTTTTTCTGTGTTAGGTTTTTCTTTACATTTGCTCCATTGGCTGCCCAAGTCATAATTTTTTGGAAGCATCCTCGATTCATTTATTTAATAATGTTTCTTTATTTTTAAAGATTTTATTTATTTTTTGACAGAGAGCGAGAGAGGGAACACAAGCAGGGGGAGTGGGAGAGGGAGAAGCAGGCTTCCCGCCGAGCAGGGAGCCCGACACGGGGCTGATCCCAGGAGCCTGGGATCATGACCTGAGCCGAAGGCAGACGCCCCCTCGATTCATTTATTTAGTTACATGTATGAGAAATAACAGTGTTTACGGTGTGCCAAGTACTGTGTAATTACTGGAGATTTAGTTTTTAATAAGCAGACAAAAGACCTCTTTTCCTGGAGCACTCTGGTGGAGGAGACAGGTGGTATACACGTGAACAAATTGAAAACCATTGTACTGTGTAATAATACTGTGAAAGAAAGACCAAGGTTGATGAAGTAGAGAGTAATTAGCAGAGACCACTTCAGACAAAGCTGATCTGGGAAGGTTTCCCTGAATGGAAGACATTTGAGCTGAGATCTAAAAGATGAGAACAAGCTGGCATTGAGGGGCTGAGGGAAAAGCAAAAAATCCAGGTCCAGGCCATGGGAACAGTAAAATGCAAAGATCTGGAGGTAAGAAAAAAGGAATATATTAAAGAATACCAATGTGACCTGTGCTATAGGAATCGAGGGAAGAGAGAGAGATAATGAGTTGGATATGCTTGCAGGACAAGATCATGTAGAATCTTGTAGGAAGTATTTTTAGGTCTTCTAATGGGAAATGACATCTGACTTATTTTGTGAAAAGTTGTATAGTTATGTGAGAGGCTTTTGAAGGAGAGAAAGAATGAAAGCAAGGAGACTAGAGTATGATGAAAGTAGTTTCAATCAAGGTAGTAATGGTGGAGAGGAAAAGAAGTGGATGAATTTGAGATCTGTATTATTGGTATAACTGAAAACACTACGTGATCCATTCAGTGAAGGGGGAAAGGGAAAAATCAAAGGATTTTTGGATTTGTCCAAATACTTCAGTGGTGGTTATATTTGTGGAGATGGGGAAGGAAAACAGTATTTTGAGAGATGTGGAATTGAGAGCATTTGGTTGTTAATGTGTGCGATACCTTTCAGACATCCAAGTGGAGATGTCAGGTTGACAGTTGGGTGTATATATACTTCGGTTCTGGAGAGAAGTTTGACCAGGAGATGACAATTTGGGAGTCATCAACTTATAGATGATATTTAAAGCCACAAGCTAGAATTAACTCCTTCTTTCCCAGTTTGATTTCCTCTCACCTGTTTCCTGTCATCCCCCACCAAAGACACATCCTATAAAATTCTAAAAATGTTATTCTGTTTGTTTACACTTATTTATGTTTTAGGCTTTAACTTCTTTAAAACCTTTCCCAGTTCCTCAGGGCAGCTCACTTGTCAAAGGCTCTTAAAAACTTCTTTTGTGGCACTTAGACTAATGCTTTGTGATGTTTTGTTTACATTTCATTCCCCCTAAATAGATAGATAAACAGTTTAAGGACTATACCTTCTTTGATTCAACAAATACTTGAGTACCTCCTGTGTGTCAGGATTTAGAGATACCAGTGCCTTACATAAATTAAATATACAATCAATGCTGAAAGAATAAAGTACATGTTAGTAGAAGATAGCAGTAGATGATTTTCTTTGCCAGATGAGATCAAATTATGGTACATATATCCAACAGTCTAGTACTGTGCAGCTTTTACAATGGATAATGAACATATCAAGTAAAAAAAGAATGTATATACATCTCATTTTTAAAAATATAGGCATACTGGTTGATGGAAAGTACATGTATAGAAAAAATTCAAAAATATTTACAAAATTCTAATGAAATTTTATCTGTGGGTCATGGGGTGATGGCTATTGCCAATTTGTATTTTATTTTTCTACAGGAATCTTTGTAAAAAAACAGATCAGACTATTTTACAAAGCATTTTTTCCTCCTCTCATTCCTCAAAGACTCCTTTGAGACTTCCTCAGTAAACCAGGGCATTGCCCTAGGGCATTGTTTTCTTGAGTTAATATTCCCATCTGTTGGGTCAAAGCAATTGAATTGGGTTTTTTCTTTGTCTTGTAGGTTATCTGGGATACACTAGGAAACAAGCAGTTTTGTTCCTTTAAGATTAGGTGAGTCTAGATTTGCATATTGAACAAAGATTCCTTCAGTTGCCCTCTTGGTACTCATCTTACAATTTTTGCTCTTTTCCTCCCATTCTAGAACTAAGACTCAGAGTTTTTGCAGAAATGAATATAGCCTGACTGGACTGTGTAATCGGTCGTCTTGTCCCCTGGCAAACAGTCAGTATGCCACTATCAAAGAAGAGAAAGGTAACTCCTCAGTTTTAACTTCCATGAGAACTAGTCAACAGCTCATAAAAGGATGTTCTCTAGTCTCTCTGTAAATAATATTAATGGTATTTATTTTATCCTGCAGGACAATGCTACTTGTATATGAAGGTTATAGAGCGAGCAGCTTTTCCTAGGCGTCTCTGGGAACGGGTAAGACTTGGCATAAAATTACAATGATCATTAATCAAGAGCAAAAATGCCACATGCTTTTCTCTCTTCCTTGACCATAGCTGTATTAAACTTTTCATTAAGATTTATTTGTTTATGAGGGGCACCTGGGTGGCTCGGTCGTTAAGCGGTCTGCCTTTGGCTCAGGTCATGATCCCAGGGTCCTGGGATGGAGCCCCGTGTTGGGCTCCCTGCTCCGCGGGAAGCCTGCTTCCCCCTCTCCCTCTCCCCCTGCTTGTGTTCCCTCTCGTGCTGTTTCTCTCTCTGTCAAATAAATAAATAAATAAATCTTTAAGAAAAAAAAGATTTATTTGCTTATGAGAGAGAGAGTATGAGCAGGGAGGTGGGGGGTGGGCAGAGGGAGAAGCAGACTCCATGTTGAGCACAGAGCCCAACACAGGGCTCGACCCCAGGACCCTGAAATCATGACCTGAGCCAAAATCAAGAGTCAGATGCTTCACCAGCTGAGCCACAATAGTGCCCCTGGATTAAACTTTTGAAGCCAACCTCCTTAGGTCCCATGGGTATCATAGCAGTGAAGACCTAATAATTTACCCTTACTCTTTTAAGCTTTCTTTTTTCTGTTTGATAGGTCCGGCTTCATAAAAACTATGAGAAAGCACTGGAGCAGATAGATGAAAATCTAATTTACTGGCCCCGTTTCATTCGACACAAGTGTAAGCAGAGATTCACCAAGATCACCCAGTACCTAATTCGAATTAGAAAACTTACACTAAAGCGACAGTAAGTATTTAGATCATTTATTTATTATATTTATTTTTTAAGTCTATTTTTCCATGGGACATACTAGGAAGATGAGAGATTATGAAATCTCTGGTAATGCTTCTTATTAAATCCAATTTCGGATAACCTTTTATGATATGTTGCAAGAAGAAAGTTTATTTCCAGTTAAAATTGTGCCCTTTGATGCTGCAGGATTTAAAAAACAGTTGAGTAAAACTTGATGATCCCCTCCCTGTCTGACCCCTCCCTGTCTGAAAAGCAGCTTCAGAAAATTTTCTTTATAACTCCCTGACAGAATCATAAAATTAAGGAATTGACGATGACCTAAAAACTTTTTTAAATAAATAAGAATGTAAGAACTTTATTCTGAGTTCACTGAAAACTAATTTTTAAAAGTGATATGAAATCCACAGAATATCTTCCTAAGGAGTGATAGATCCTAATACTTCTTCTTTGTGACCTGCAGAGAAAGCTAAAGATGGCAGTCTTCTACAGAAAATTCTTCTTTGTTAAAACTGAAGCATTAATCTTGGCATAGTGAATGCCCTCAGAAGTCTCAGAACGCCTAAAGAAAACAAAAAGTAAAATACACATTAAAATACATATGAAGGGCGCCTGGGTGGCTCAGTTGGTTAAGTGACTGCCTTCGGCTCAGGTCATGATCCTGGAGTCTCGGGATCGAATCCCATATCGGGCTCCCTGCTCAGCAGGGAGTCTGCTTCTCCCTCTGACCCTCCCCCCTGTCATGCTCTCTCTCATTCTCTCTCTCAAATAAATAAATAAAATCTTTAAAAATAAATAAATAAATAAAATACATATGAAAATGTCTGACTTTTTATAGCATTAAATACCTAGAAAATTGTTAAAGTATATAATCTTGGCTATATTGAGCTGAGCCCAACAAAATCAACTCCAATCCTTTTTTCTCCTCATTTTTTTAAAGATTTTATTTGTCAGAGAGAGAGAGAGAGTGCGTGAGCACACAAGCAGAAGGAGTGGCAGGCAGAGGGAGAAGCAGGCTCCCCGCTGAGCAAGGAGCCCCATGTGGGGCTTGATCCTAGGACCCTGAGATCGTGACCTGAGCCGAAGGCAGACGCTTAACCGACTGAGCCACCCAGGCGCCCCTCTTCTCTCTTTTTTTTTTAAAGGTACACGCAGAACATGCACTTCGGTTTTCTGATAATGTGTTCTGTTTTCCGTAGGAGGAAACTTGTTCCCTTGAGTAAGAAGGTGGAACGGAGGGAAAAAAGAAGAGAGGTAACTTATTATTTTGGGATTCATAGCTTCTGTATTTTCATTGAGGTTAGGGGTGTGTAGATAGGGATCATGAAAAAGATTCAGTCACTATTTAGTCTGTGAACTGCTTAGGCCTTGGGTTCACTAATGGATAATACTGTTGTATTAGTTGTATAAGATACCGGATATTCATATTTTAAGTTTATGATTTTCAGGGCAGGTTAAAGTAAGGGTTCTTAGGGATATATATAATGGAGAACAGAAGGAATACCTTGTCTGAAATTCTTGAGGTTAAATGTTTCAGAAATCAGACCTTTGGTATGTTGCCTTTCTTACACATCGCATACTACTCTCAACAGGGTTTGAGCATTCTTTTTTCTTTCCCCCCCCATGGTAAACCTCTTTAATTCCCATCCCTTATTTCCCCCATCTTCCCACCCACCTCCCCTCTGGTAACCGTCAGTTTTCTATAGTTAAAGAGTCTATTTCCTGGTTTGTCTTTTTGTTTTCCTTTTCTTGTTTTGTTTCTTAAATCCCACATTGGAGTAAAATCCTATGGTATTTGTCTTTCTCTGACTTATTTCACTTAGCATTATACTCTCTATCTATGTCGTTGCAAATGGCAGGGTGTCATTTTTTTATGGCTGAGTAATATTCCATATATATACACGCTTCTGTATCCTTTCATCAGTCAGTGGACACTTGGGCTGTTCCCATACTTTGGCTATTGTAAATAATGCTGCAATAAACAGAGTGGCGCATGCATCCCTTTAGATTAAAGTATTTTGGTATTTTTTGGCTAAATAGCCAGCAGTGTGATGCCTGGCTCGTAGGGTAGTTCTATTTTTAACTTTCTGAGGAATCTCCATACTGTTCTATAGTGACCGCTCCAGTTTGTATTCCCACCAGAATGTGCTGTTGATTTTAGCCATTCTGACAGTGTGAGGAGATATCTCATTGTAGTTTTGATTTGCACTTCCCTGATGATGAGTGATGTTGAGCATCTTCATGTGTCCATTAGCCATCTGGATATCTTCTTTGGAGAAATGTCTGTTCATGTCTTCTGCCCATTTTTTAATTGGATTGGTTTTGGGCTGTTGAGTTTTATCAGTCCTTTATATATTTTGGATATGTCTTCTGCCCATTTTTTAATTGGATTGGTTTTGGGCTGTTGAGTTTTATCAGTCCTTTATATATTTTGGATATTAACCCTTTGTCAGATATATCATTTGCAAATATTTTCTCCCATTCAGTAGGTTGCCTTTTAGTGTTTGTTTTTTTTTTTTAAGATTTATTTATTTGAGAGAGCGAGAATGAGAGTACATGAGTGGGGGAGGGTTAGAGGGAGAAGCAGGCTCCTCGCTGAGCAGGGAGCCCAAAGCGGGACTCGGTCCCGGGACTCCAGGATCATGACCTGAGCTGAAGGCAGCCGCCCAACCAACTGAGCCACCCAGGTGCCCGGTTGCCTTTTAGTTCTGTTGATTGTTTCCTTTGCTGGGCAGAAACTATTTTGATATAGTCTCAATAGTTTATTTTTGCCTTTATTTCCCTTATCTTAGACATAACTAGAAAAATTTGCTTATGGCAGACATCAGAGACATTACCCCTGTGATCTCTTCAAGGATTTTTATGGTTTTGGGTCTCATATTTAGCTCTTTAATCCATTTTGAATTTATTTTTGTGTATGGTGAAAGAAAGTGGTCCCATTTCATTCTCTTGCCTGTGGTTGTCCAGTTTTCCCAGTACTGTTTGTTGGAGAGACTGTCTTTTTCCCATTGTATATTCATTCCTCCTTTGTCAAAGATTAATTGACAATGTAATTGTGAGTTTATTTCTGGGTTTTCTGTTCTATTCCATTGATTTATGTGTCTGTTTTTATGCCCGTACCATTCTGTTTTAATTACTACTGCTTTGTAATATAACTTGAAATCTGGAATTGGGATACCTCCAGTTTTGTTTTTCTTTTTCAAGATTGCTTTGCCTATTCGAGGTTTTTTGTGGTTCCATACAAATTGTAGGATTGTTTGTTTTACTTCTGTGAAAAATGTTGGTGGTATTTTGATAGAGATTGCATTTAATGTGTAGATTGCTTTGGGTACTATGGACATTCATTATTTGCTCTTCCATCCCACGAGCATGGAATGGAATGTCTTCCCATTTCTTTGCATCCTTTTGGATTCTTTCATCACTGTTCACAAAATACAGGTCTTTCACCTCTTGGGTTAGGTTTATCCTTAGATATTTTATTGCTTTTCATGCAGTTGTAAATGGGATTGTTTTATTTCACTTTCTGCTGCTTCATTATTAGTGTGTAGGAATGAAACAGATTTCTGTACACTGATTTCGTGTCCTGCGACTTTACTGCATTTGTTTATCAGCTCTAGCAGTTTTCTGGTGGAGTCTCTAGGGTTTTCTATTTCTAGTATCATGTCATCTGCATACAGTGAACATTTTACGTCTTCCTTACCAATTTGGATGCCTTTTATTTCTTTGTGTTATCTAACTGCTATGGCTAGGACTTCCAGTACCATGTTGAATAACAAGTGGTGAGAGTGGACATCCCTGTCTTGTTCCTGACCTTAGGGGAAAAGCTCTGTCGTTCCCCATTGAGGATGATTTTGGCTGTAGGTTTTTTATATAAGGACTGTATTATGTTGAGATATGTCCCCTCTAGACCTACCTTGCAGAGAGTTTTTATCAAGAATGGATGTTGTACTTTGGCAAATGCTTTTTCTGCATCTGTTGAAATGATCCTGTGGTCTTTATCCCTTCTCTGAATGATGTAATGTATCACGTTGATTGTTTTGTGAATATTGAACCACCCTTGCATCCTGGAAATAAATCCCACTTGATCATGGTATATGATTTTTTTTAATGTATTGTTGGATTTGGTTTGCTAATATCTTGTTGAGGATTTTTGCATCTGAATTCATGAGAGATATTGGCCTGTAGCTCAGAGGAAATTACGTTGTTCTGCTTTTACCAAGTAAGTTTGAAGCCTTCTGAAAAATGTCGATTTGGAAGATTTTTAAATCAGCTGGAAAATTACATTTCCAGATTGTGTGATTTATGGGAGACATATGTTTTCACAATGTCACTTATAGATGTAATCACTTTCCTTTTTTAAATGTTCTATCCACAGAACAAGTTTAAAAACATTTTAAACTCACTGTTAAAATATTGCTTTTCTCTTGAAAGAATGGAGTAAGTGTATTTTTTAAAGCTTCTGTTGTTACATTATTACAGTCATTTGTCATCCTGGAAAATTTGGAACATTTTCTTTTTGTGAAAAATGCATAATTCTTTTAAGATGTAGAACTCTTTTTAAGTACTAAACAATTAAATAGTATACCTTTATAACTCTTCCTGTGGTATTGCAAAGTATTCAGTATCTATAAATCCACTTAAGCAAACATCAGCTGCCGTATGCTGTAATCATGTGAATAAAAGTAGTGAGAATCCCCACTTTCAGACTCTGGGCAGTATTTTTCCCTTAGGTTATCTTCCTCACTGTATTTGACACACAGCTATTTGCTTTATGGCCAGAGTTAAGGCACCACTGTTATTATGCATAAAAAAATGTAACTTAATTTTTAAAGAAAAAATACATACACAGCAATTTTGACTATTTTCTGCCTGCATCTCAGTGGATCGCCCTTGAGGTGTGAGCACCCACTTGAGAGAACAGTGCAGAACATCACGATAGCCTCTTAACTGCTCATGTGCCCCAGTATGACTTTTTTCTTATTCATAAAATTTTATGATCTTTACTATTAAATTAATGCAGTCTTAGGCGAGGAAGATAGACTGAGGTTAGATTTTTATGTTTTGGTTGTGGGTGGTAGTTTGATACCATGTATCATTATCGTTTTTAATGCAATCATTGGAGGAAGAGATTTTTAATCTTTTTTTCTGTCTGTCACATGGAATCTAACATGGTTTTAGAAAAAGTAGGAGTCAAAGTCTCTATTTCCCTTTCTCAGCTTTTACAAAATCTGTTTCAGGATTGGTCATTTTTTGTTTTTTTTTTAAAGATGTATTTATTTGACAGAGGGCGCAAAAGCAGGGGGAGCAGGAGAGGGAGCAGCAGACCCCCCCACTGAGCAGGGAGCCCAATGCGGGGCTCGATCCCAGGACCCTGGGATCATGACCTGAGCTGAATGCAGATGCTTTACTGACTGAGCCACCCAGGCGCCCCAGGATTGCTCGTTTTCTAAGACACTGAAATGCATATAGACCTACATGCTTTGTGTATCTATGAAAGGCTTTGTTAGAATTTAAAATGCTATTTATAGTCCAGCGGCCTTTCTCTGCTTCTGGCCCTCCCCTCTGACTCTGAGCAGTTCTCTGGTTCTGATGGAGGCACTGATTTTTGTAAAATTTTATTAAATAAAATGGCCTGGATAAGCCCCCCCCCAAAATAAAATAAAATGCTATTTATAAAACCATTGGAATTTTTAAATTTAAAAGGTTCCCAAAGTTTGAAAGCAGGAATATATCTGGCCGGAGAGGTATGAGTCCCGGTGATAGCAAGAAGGGAAAGAAAGTGATTATTTTTTTTTTTTTTAAATAAAAACTTGGTTTCTTCCACTTCTACAGGCTGAAAATGAGTATTAATGAAGTAAATGGGTTTACTCAAATTTTTCTGTTACAGGAAAAGGCATTAATAGCTGCTCAGCTGGATAATGCTATTGAAAAGGAATTGCTGGAGAGACTGAAACAAGATACGGTGAGAAAGCCAGGAACTTTGGGATGTAAATTTTATTTTTTAGACCAATATCATGCTAGGAAATAGTGGGGAAATGTGTTTTATTTTCAAAGATGCTGGAAAGAGCTTCACTTTGATTTTGTTCCTGGAATAAAACAAATATATAGGCCTTGGCTTCTCCATTTTAGTTCCAGATCTCTGTATAAAAGACATGCAGTTTTGATCCTCCTGCGTATTACCCTAGTCTTCTAAGGTTCTTTAAAATGAGTTTTTAATTCTCTTTTTAAAAACTAGTGTCATTTAAAAGACAAAATGAATAAAACTTATTTTTTCCTTATCATTTCCTTTCTGTCAGCAAATTTACGTTTGTTCCAACCCATGGGTTTTATACACTACTAAGTTTTGAGTGATGTGCTTTTCTATTCTTCATGGAAGTTACCGGTCTGATTTTAACCACTGATTATTTAAAATGTACTTTTAAAGATATTGTTGGTTCTACGCTTGAAATTAATACAGAAATATTACTACTTAATCAACTTAAGTATTCTCATTTAATCACTGAGGAATATGCTTATTGGCCAGTGGACTTCAAGTGTGAGATTGAGATGTCATTAAAGCCGGTGTGTGTTTCTGTCCTTCAGTATGGTGACATCTACAACTTCCCCATTCATGCTTTCGACAAGGCCCTGGAACAGCAGGAGGCAGAGAGTGACTCTTCAGATTCTGAGGAAAAAGATGACGAAGATGAAGAAGTAAGCCTTGTTTGTTTTTGCTTCATCACGCAGTAATCTGTAGAACTGTATCTCTTTACCTGTACTTGAGAGAATATCATTTTCATTCCGCTAACCAAAAATAATTCTTTGGTCATTTTTTTCTATTATGAGATTAATTTTAGTTCAGCCAACAAACTATTTACACATTGACAATTTTAATCTTACTTATAGGCATTCTAAAATTTTTCCTACAAGGGGACAAATGAAGAATCCTCATCAGCTGATAGAACATACCATTAAAGGGACGCCTGGGTGGCTCAGTCGGTTAAGCATCTGCCTTTGGCTCAGGTCATGATACCGGGGTCCTAGGATCGAGTCCCACGTCGGGCTCCCTGCTCAGCGAGGAGCCTGCTTCTCCCTCTGCCTGCCACTCCCTCTGCTTGTGCTTTCTCTCTCTCCCCCTAATAAATAAATGAAATCTAAAAAAAAAAAAAAAAAGAATCTACCATTAAGGAACCTCCTGAAATTTATACAGGATTTAATTTCACTATTAATATAGGGGAGGTACTGGAATGATTGTATTTTTAGGAAAAGGCCAGATTTATCAAGTAGTTGCTTAATCACATGGTACACTCACATAGGCACATAGGTGTACTTTTTTTTTTTTTTTTTAAGATTTTATATATTTGTTTGACAGAGACAGCAAGAGAGGGAACACAAGCAGGGGGAGTGGGAGAGGGAGAAGATGTGGGGCTCGATCCCAGGACCCTGGTATCATGACCTGAGCCGAAGGCAGATGCTTAACAACCGAGCCACCCAGGCGTCACCATAGGTGTACTTTTCCTAAGAGTAACCCTTTTTTGGTACTTGAAATTAATAGGTTTAATTAAATGTACAGAATTGTTTGTAAAGCCCTACCTGTATACTGATTTTTTTAAACAAATTAAAATGAGGATGTTTTACTCTCTGATGATTTATATTAGGCATGAGAATTGATATCCCTGAAATGTTTTTAAATCAGAAGTAATTAAACTTGGAAATAAGTAGATTTTGGTTGAGCCTAGTAAGTAGACTGTGAATCTCTGTTATTTATGCACTTATCAAAAAATAAAACTAGATGTGTAAGCTGAATTTTCATTCTGTATTTTGAACTTAACAGCTATGTGTTTTTTTAGGATGTGGGGAAGAGAGAGTTTGTGGAAGATGATGAGGTGGAGGAGAGTGATATAAGTGATTTTGAGGTGAGATTTTGGGCTTTCAGGGAAAAGAAGGTTTCTGAACACACAGGCCGATAAATTCTCTGGTTCTAAATTGAGAGTACAATGAAAGGAGTTTGGGGGATGAATTTTCTCTTTTCTTTCCCTCTATCAGGATATGGATAAACTGGATGCCAGCAGTGATGAAGATCAGGATGATAAATCCTCCATCGAGGAAGAAGAAAAGGCCCTTGATACCAGACATAAAGGCAAAACACCCTTGAAAGGACCCTTGCGGAGAAAACGAGCCTATGTGGAGATAGAGTATGAGCAGGAGACAGAGCCTGTGGCCAAGGCCAAAACAACGTGACTTTCCTTTGGACATTTATAAATAGGACTGAACATTTTCAGCATCCTCCTTTCTTTTACCATAAACGTGCACACCTCCAGTTTTAGCTTTCATATAGTACTTAACACAATATTTGTGTTTTTAATATTTATGCTACTTCTGTGGGGCACGAAATCTGGGAGGGAGCGGAGGAAGCCTTAAGTTGTGAACAGAGTATTTTTATAGCGTTGGCATATGCTTTGAAGTAACAGCTTGAGCCCAAGAAGCTTAACAGATGAATTTGTGGGTATAAATATTTCTAAATTTTAAATGCTATCCACCCGTTTCCTTGGCGTCCTCCCCTCCAATCCCCCAACTTTATTTAGAAGTGCCCAGACTTCATTTTTTTTCTTGTTCTCTTTTCCCTACTTCTTTGGGAATAAAAGAAGGAAAGAGAAGGTCTAAGTTATAATGTTTAGTGTGAAAATACCTTTTTTCTTAAACAATTCCATTTACACAGTTGGAACAAGAAGAAAAGCCTTCCTGCTTTAGGAAAGACAAATTTAAGTTCCGTCGCAGGACGCGTCTTCAGACACCTGCTGCACTTTTCTGATACAGTTCACCACCTTGCTGTCTTCACAGCTTTGGAGAATTTTGACCAGGAGACCCTGAAACATGAAACCAAATAGGCTTTGATTTTTCTTTTTAATTGGTATTTCTTTTCCTTTTACCTTGGTTCTTCGTGGTACCACAGTCAAAGAAAGGATGAACAGACAAGACTAGAGAGCAGTTTGTGGAACAGGTGTTAACGTTAAAAACAGTGTCGTTGTACATGGAAGTGTCCTGTTGGCTCAGGAAGAAGCGAGTTAATACCAGCCAGTGCAAATCAGATTGGATCCAGGGACTCGAAAACTGCCTGAGATGAAAGAGCCAACACAAAGAAATTTGAATACGCTGATAAAACAACAAACTACACTATTTCTAAATACTTTTAGGATATGCATTCCTTTTCGCGCTGCTTTATAAATTTAAATATAAATTTAGATTTCTAAATGGAAGAAATAGGCAATAGTTTATTAAATATATATAAATATACACACATAGCTATTACATGCTTTGGCTTTGAGAAATTAACTTTTGTGGAATATGAAACTAAAGGAAGAACTCCCATGTGGATAAATAAGAATATGGAAAAATACAGTTGCCCCAGAAAAACTGGAAACATTTCTGGGATCGATCTGAATCACTCTACTTACATTATTACTCCTTGGTGGTTTATAGCTCATTATTTCACCATTTAAAAAAAAAATTCAGATGACTAAAACAGAATTTAAGTTTTATAAACCTCTTAATCTTTTGTGCATTTTCTGTCCTCACCCCAGAAACCTTACCTTTTGGTCTAAATTCTGAATAGCTTTAAAAGAAAAATAAGGTGTTAATCAACCTCTGTTGAAGGCTAGCGGTCTCCAAGGTGGGAACCTGAACCCTCCATGTTCATTTACAAACTTGGTCAGGCATGTGAACAGTAAATTTTCATCAGTCATAGGAATTACTTAAGGACCAGGTTGCAGACTCTTACCTTCACCTGTCCTTGAGAACAGTGGTCCAGGAGAATCAGGCAATCTGTGGCTTCCTCTAATAAGGTGTTCTTAACAGGCTCAGGTGTAAGGTTTGGATCCTTTGCTACATCGCATATCAGTTTCAGGAGAGCCTTCAGTAAGACCACAAGTCTACAGGAAACTCTGGAATCAAGAAGAAAAAGTTATGTTCATACTCTAAATCAGGATATTAAAACTGAGATTTCAAAGGCCATCTAAGTTGTAAAGCCCTCATTTCCTAAATGAACTAAAGTGAACTGACTTAAAGACCACGGAGCCCCTGTACTTTTTTTTTTATATAATAAAAAAACCTTAAAAGCCTTAATCAAAGCTGAAAAATAATTTGTAGTGGGAAAATATGCATACTACATCATATTTCTGGGCAGAAATGTGACTGGAAGAGTAAGTTTGCATCCCTCGATTTAGTAAATATGAAGCCCGTTTTCTACATTGTTTGCTGCTCAGCTTTCCTACCTGTCATCAACATAAAACCTGTTTCCCACTTCCCAGCCCCACCGCTTCCATACAGGCATTCATTTTCTAACCTTCCTACTTGGGCCTGCCAATCTCCACCTGGAACGTTAACTGGATTCAATTTCATCATCCATCCGTTCAGTCTGTTCTAGTCCATCCATTCTTCTAATGTTTGTGTATGTAATAACCAAGTACTGAGAAAACTTGTATACTCAGTATCCCAGAGTGGGCTTACAGTTCAGTAGGGAAGAAAGACAGGAAGTAAACAAAGACAGTCCAGTAATAGACCTAACTAAGGGTAAAGACTGGGAAGCTTCTAAGGAAATAAAGAGTATTATGGTTCAGAACAGATAGAGATGTTTTTGGAGCACTGGACTCTAGGTGAATTAAACTTTGTTGTCCATGCAAGAAAAGTACTTGCTGACAAAACATGTCTGGGTTCCAGTTTATTGTTCCTGACACGAACCTCCAACCAGAGTTGGAATGCTTTCTAAGCAATCATCAATTAGTATTCTCCTGGTCACTGCTCTGCAGATGTTCAGTACTGTGTTATGAAGTTCTCTGTTCTCAATTAGATTTAAAAAACTCTGGGGTGAACAAAGTTAAGCATTGTATCACTTCTAAATAGCCTCTGAAATTCTAATATACATTATAAACCTAGAGAGAGGTACCCCTGCAGTAACAATGGGTATATTTTATCTTTTCAATGCGACTTCCTCATTTCAATATCCAATAGAAATGTAAAAATGGAGATATTCAAATATAAGGTATGTCCTTAAGACTTTGTACTGAAAGTACACCTGGGCAATTTCTGAAGAGAGTATTGGCTGAGTTCTGCCCCTCTTGGCACACCTGCCTGCTTGGCTGTTTTACCTGGGCCATGCATACTGCATGAGCAGTTTCAGAGTTTCCAGTATCTTCAATCTAGCCTCCTCCTCTGGTCCATCATAAACCTCCAGATAACCAATGATGACTCGCTCCAGCCTCTTTAAGTGCCGGACAGTTAGAATCCCCAACCTAAAAAGGAAAGAGAAAATGTGGCACCAAGGAGATGAAGAGTAGGCCGGACCAGCAGCCCAGGCACTCGCCTCTTCACAAACGCTGGGAGGTTTCTCGCGTAGGTCCTGCGTAAGAGAAGGCGGTGCTCCGGCTCCATGTGCGTCAGGATCAACTGCAGTACCTCATCACAGTGCGTGGTGGGTCGAGCGGCACCTCCCTTCCAGTGCAGGCCTTTCTCTAGGACGGGGAATAAATCTAGCAGACACAGGAGCACAGCCTAGGAGGAAGTAATAGAAAAGAACTGTTCGTCTATTGGCATTCACATTCACTGATTGGTCTAGCAATTTTATTAATCTATCCTTGGGGTCCGTGTGATAGAATTCTGAAAGATACCAGTAATACATGAAGTGTATATTACTTTATATTTTCAAGCTTGTTTTATTTACATCATCTCCAAACAAGTTAACACCCAAGCAGGGGGAGTGGGAGAGGGAGAAGCAGGCCTCCCGCTGAGCAGGGAGCCCAATGCAGGGCTCAATCCCAGGACCCTGGGATCATGACCTGAGCCGAACGAAGGCAGACGCTTAATGAATGAGCCACCCAGGCGCCCCTAACACCTTCTCTTCCAGACTGTTCTTTGCTAAGCTATGAAATGGGACCTTATGGGCACAGCTGGGACTTTAACGGAAATTGTAGGAATCTAAGTCTATTGCCACTAAATTTCTAAGTTAAATTGATAGTTACACATACTCACAATAAAACTGCTCCTACAAAGAATCTACGGTGGTCCTCATTTGTATCCAGTCTGACCACCCTATGTGAAGTTTCAGTATCTAAGCACTCCCTTCTAGCTCTCTCGGGATTTTTTTTTTTTCTCTTAGTTTTGTTTTGTTTTTAAACCATCATCTAAAGAGCCCTAAACTTTTTGGCTGTCAATACCTGGATTCTCAATTTAATACTTAATATTTAAAAAGAAAGGTGGCTGGGGGGATTGGGGAAGGGAGGACAGGCATTAAAAAAAGAGGCTATTTCTACCTCTGATTTTATAGAACTTGTTTCTTCTGTCTTCAGAATGTTCTTGCCTGTCCTAAGAAACTTCTGTTCATCCTTCAAATATCACCTCCTTCCTAAATCCTCCTAAAACCATCCCAACACCACCAAACCTGGTTAGCCGCCCTTTGCTGGACACCCACTGCATTCTATACAAACCTCTTCTTAATAGATTTATCACCCTGTACTACAGACATGTATAAATACTCATTTATTTACATGCCTTTCCAAAGGGTTTCTTAAAGCCAGAAACCCTGTCTGATCCATTCACTCTTGGAACCTACAATGGTTACTCACACACAGTAGCTATTCAATGTCTTTAGGAAGGAAGAGTGGCACTATAATACCCAACTTACAAAGAGTTTCAAGTGTGTGTTGATACAAAGAGGCAGAGGACACAAGTTAATAAAAATAGAACTTTTCAGACAAAGCCGCCCTCAAGTGATACAGAATTGACCCAGATGCGAAGACAAAACACTGGCTCTTCTGTGGAGACTCAGAAATGTGGATGCCTGCTCAGTGCTGAGACATTTTCACTAGTCATTTGCTACCTCTTTATTTTCAAGTTGGCTATGACTTAGTCATCATCCTCACTTTCCAAAAGAGGAAAATGTCTCAACTATTCTTATTCACGTAATACCACCTTCTATTCAAATTTGAGAACTGAGTACAATTACAATTACAAAATTACAATTACCTGAATGAGGTTGTACTCTGGTGTGTACAGGTGGTTGAAAAGGGCATGGTAGAGGACCTGGGCTCTGTTATACTGGAGCAAATCAGCAGCCGGCTGCAAGCAAATTACCCAATTAAAATTTTTCCAAGGTTGCCAAAATGTTGATTTTTTTTTTTAAGATTTTATTTATTTTTGTGAAAGAGTGAGAGCGCGAGCATGTGCACCCAAGCAGCATGGAGGAGCAGAGGCAGGGAGCCCCATGCGGGACTCCATCCCAGGACCCTGAGATCACAACCTGAGCGGAAGGCAGACACTTAACCGACTGAGCCACCCAGGCACCCAATGTTGGTAATTTTTGAAACTGAAGTATGGATACACAGAAGCTATCATGCCATAGGATTCATTATACCACTCTCTACTTCTGCGTATATTTTAAAAGCTCCAAAATACACAGTTTTAAAAAAAAGTTTCCTTGAGTAACATAATAATGGCTTGCATATTTGGATAAAACCTCTTTCAGTTTCTGATTTTTTTTGCTCCTTGAAAGTCAACTGTTAATTACTCAAGGTCTGGTTATTCAGTTTGACATGCAGGATAATGGTCCAGGAGTCTTACACATGTTACCTCTGAGGTACAATTTACTAGGTTGGCAGAAGGAAAATATAAAGAAAAAAATATAAATAAGTAAATTTAGTCACATAACAACATTAATAGGAAGCTAATAAAAGATAAAAAAAGACAACAATAAAATGGTATCATGACGACTCAATCTGTCCCATCCACACAGATGGCAGAGTGCAGAGGCTGCTTACCACATTTAGCACAACGTGATGGAGGCAGTGCACACCCAGTATCTTGTTCTCGGTTTGATAGTCATCCGAGATGAGCAGTGATGGGGGGAGTATCCTTTCCAGATGTTCATTCAGCCAGGGTCGGGTGACCTGTTGCAGAGTCCATGAGAAAACATGTTTGGTGGCAGGGTTTTTCTTCCAGGATTCCCTACATGGAAATGTGAAACCACATTAAGTAAAGTGACATGGAATCAATCAGCAAAGAAAATCAACCTCTTCAAGCTAAACAGAGCATTTTCTTGTCCTTGAAAAGAATACATCACACGTAACTCTTGATGTTATACATTTTAAGATTTAGATCAAAATAACTTACAGAACTTGCACTAAAGAACAAAAAACAACCTGACACTAAATACATTTAACAATGAATCTGCCAGGGCTCTGGGTCTAAAGCTTAGCCAATGAGGAGCCATTTATAACAGTAGCTTGTAAAGAATCTGTGGTGATGGCGTGGGTGGTTACAGGGAAGATCTGCTAAGAAGGGGGCGCCTGGGTGGCTCAGTTGGTTAAGCGACTGCCTTCGGCTCAGGTCATGATCCTGGAGTCCTGGGATCGAGTCCCGCATCGGGCTCCCTGCTCAGCGGGGAGTCTTCTTCTCCCTCTGACCCTACCCTCTCTCATGCTCTCTTTCTCTTTCTCATTCTCTCTCTCAAATAAATAATAAATAAAATCTTTAAAAAAAAAAAAAAGATCTGCTAAGAAGGGAGACAGGAGTAAAAGAAACATCTTCAGTATTATAAGTATTACAAGGGAGCAAGTGAATAGATATTTGAACAAAAGCAATTTGCAGCTTATAAAGTGGGCTTACACACTTTACTCAACCTTCAAAATAACTGTGTAATAGATAATATTATCTTCATATTACAAAAAAAAATGCAACAGGTTCAGAAAGGCTCTCTGACCTGGTCCTACTCAGAACCAATAAAAAGTACCAGACTACTTCAAAACTCCAAGTTCCTGATAAAATGACAGTTAGGTACACATTTTTCTCTCATCTCTTTCATGTTACTAATAGTAATAACATATAAAGTAGCAAGTGGAACTCACAGAAAATACTTTAGCTGATAGCAATCTAAAGGTCTTTTTTTCATCCCAAACACCACTTTCATATCTAACAACCATCCTCATCTAATAACTAGTGATGAGTTTCAAGATCCCTACGTTTAAATTCAAATCATAAGTTTAAATCCTCTCCAAATCCTCATCCTCACCTAACTTAAGAAACCTTAATATAAATAAATGGGACAGACCTTCCGATGTCCAGGGCAGTTGTCAAGAGGGCCGGAAAGAGCACTAGGGAATGGAAATCTGACGACCTAGGCTCTAATGTCGAACTTGCCAATATCTGATAATGTCATTGATAGCAAATTGCAACCTTCCTGGGCCTTAAGACATCTGCTATTATCACAACACCTTTATCTTACCATCGAAGAAACTCGGGTTTCTTTGAGCTCTAATATTCTAAAATGTTAGGCTGAAGCTCAAGTTAGTGGCCCTTTTGACAAGAATACTCACTTATTCAAATCAGGTTTGAGAAGCTCCATTATTACAGTAAATCTCCCTTTCTCATCTTCATTTTCTCCGTGCAGAAATCCTGCCACAGAACCACACTGAGTAACTCGGAGGAGTAAGGAGAGCACCTCTCCAGCAACGTCATGGGATCTCGGGCTGGTCCATGGTTGCTCTAAGCTGTGTGTGACCGCGAAAATATAGATGGGTCCTGCCAAGTGACGGAGGCCCATCTTCCATGTAGGACAAAGCATGGAATTCTGGGCCGCCTCAACTTTCCCCAACAGTTTAAGAAACAGTACCCCAACTGCTGCCGCTTTCTCGGCCACTTCAGAGTGGCCATGACCTCTACCTTGCTGCTCCTTGGGTGGGGCTGCATACTTCTCTAGGGCTTTTGCCACCTGCCCCAGCATCTCTGGCATTCCGCGGGGCGACGTGCCACTATCCTCAAATAATTGATCACATTCTGTGGCTTCTATTAGAGCACCGAGGTCCTGAATTACTGCACTTCTGGCCTTGCCCCGTCGGGACTCCTGGCTGGTAAGACGGTGCAAAACCTGGGAGAGAGACTGTCCGAGGGCGGAGGAAGGCCGCTCTCCCGGCAAGGAAGATCCTTCCTGCGATGGGGATTCCCGAGAGCTGTCCTGCTCCATTCCTCAGACTGCGGCAGTGATGAGCGGGTCTCGTCCAGGAAGCCAAGATGGGAGGCTGGTGGGGATCTGCTAGAGAAAATAAGATCACCCGAAGGCTGGAATTCTCCCAAAGAACGCAACTAAAACCAAATAAAACGGCAAGACGTCGGGGGGGGGCGGGGTGGAGGGGGGGGGGGGGCGCGAGTCTCACCCGCAAAAGAGTAAAGTCTGCGTAAAGGAAAAGATGCAGGAAAGGGAAAGGAGCCTCTCCGGGAGTAACAGAGCCTCAGACTCCCAACAGTAGATCAATTATTCTTGCCTTTCCGAAGATTAAAAACAAAAACCCTAAGAGTTTAAGAAATAAACCCCTAAGGCAAGACACAAACACCTCCACGGGTGGCGCCTCCACACCTTCCACCACTGCAGTACCTGTTAGGATCCGGACCCAGCTCGCCTCGCTGCCGCAAAGCACAAGGCTAACTTCCGCCAATATTCAGGCAACACTTCGTCATTTCACGACCTGCTTGTCGTAAAGCAACAGAGACCAGGTTCCCCCAAAAAGGTAGTGTTTGGACGAAAAATTTGCATAGACATATCCGCTCGCTAATTTTGTTTTTGTTTTCATTTATTAAGGTAGAAACAAAAGAAAAATACCGAAGATATTTTAAAAGTATATCCGATTTCACTGTTGAGACTGAATATATAAAGCAAAAGTCTGTCACCCTTTCTTAAAAGTCAGTGGGACATACTCGGCACTCCTTAACAGACACAGCCGCGCGATCCTTTTGTAGTTCATAAGCGTGATGATTGGGTGTTCACGCCGTTGTGTGACATGTGCGTCCCTCTAAACCTTGTTACGATCTCGGCACATTACCCGTCTGACGTGAACTTGGAGGATCCTTTTATTCTTCAGTGTGTTGAACGAGTTAGAGCTTTGGTTATTCCGAGGCTGCGTTGCGTCTGTGGGTTGTAGAAGTTGAAAGCAGTTTCCACGGTTTGTGATCATCTAGCTAAAGAGTTTCGGAGTTCGGTCTGTTGCGGGGTGTAGCTTTTTATCTACGAGCCGGCTTTTTAAAGCGCTTATCCGTAGACGGCTGCGGGTTAGGTCCCAGTGTCGGGCGAGGGCTTGGCTTGTGTAACTCACCCTCCACCAGGGGCGGGGCGGTCGCACTCCAGGCGGGCCCGCGGGTGTGAGCGCGCTGTGCTCTGGGCCAGGCCGCCGCAGTACTGAGTCCGGGCGGCAGGAGGTGTCGGGAGCAAGCCTCCGGGCGGTAGGCGATCTGCAGGTTCAAGCTGGGCGGCCCACAACCACCTGTCTTCGGTGGGGTTTCGACAGACGAGACGAGGCGGAGCGGGGCGGAGAGCCACTGCCCAGTGCGACCCGTTGTCCTTGCCCGTGTCATGCTACGCCGGAACTGCTTGTCCCCTCGCTGCGGGTTCCCTGAGTGTAGAATTGTGTCCAGTTGACATGGGGTACCCCATGGGAGGGTAACGATGCCTGGGAGTTCGTCTGTGGCTGCATGTAGCTTCCCCCGTGTCGTAGGAGCCCGGGGAAGCGGACTTCATTGCTGCCCAGGCATGAGCGGGAGCGCGGAGAAATGGGCGGTGCACACCTGGAGGGGTCGGAGAGCCGGCTCGGCCGCTGCTCGGAGGGGGACCCTCGGCGGGCGACCCTTCAGCTCTCGGCCGCTGCTCAAATCCGCGCTGCGGGGCGGGCGGGCTGGGCCTCCGCCGTGCACCCTGCAGGTCGCCTACGGGCCTTGGGATTCCTGCGCCCCCCAAGAGTCTAGAGAGAGCCCTGCAGGGTTTTTCCGATCTTGGGGGGGGCGGGGTGTAGGGAGGGAGGTGTCAACGGTAGTTTCTCCTCCGCAGGGGGTGATTATGGTAGGGGAAGACACGGTGCTTTTGTCCCAGTAGGGAGAGAGGGCAGTGCTTGCGAGTATCCTGTCGTCTGCGCTTCCTTGCTACCTTCCTCGTTCGCTCGCTGTGTGCCCTTGAAGAGTTCAGTAACCTCTCTGTGCCGTAATTTCTTTGACGGTAAAATGTGAGGCATGATAGTCCCTACTTCTTAGGATTGTTATTTTAAAATAAAGGAGTTAAGTATGTGTCAACAGCTTAGAGCCGTCTCTGGTGAGTGTTAAATTCAATACCGGCGTTAATTGTTAAACCACAGCTTATGTATTAATTTACGTTTCCTCTTTTGAGGGAATTTTGGGGTTAGGACCCTTCCTCTCTGCCTCTTTCATTTGGCCTTGCCTTCTCTGACCAATTGGTGGCACTCATGATTTTCTAAGTAGTTTCAAACATTGATTAAAAAAACAAAATAAAACTGAGTTCCTCCCATGGGGATTCTCCCTTATTAAGGTCCGTGTGGGAGCAAGATGCCAGCCAACAGAGTGTCATTGTGTCCCTCCTGTGTGTGAGCCTGTCTGCCCTGTTCCACGCACCCTTTGTGCTAAGTGGATCCAAGATCTCACTCTCTCGTGAGCAAAGCGCTTGTATTGCAGGGGTCTCCCCCTCTTCACTCTGAGTTTCCTGAGGCCAAAGACCATGTCTTTATCCCCAGTGCCTGGCACGATTTAGCGACGAAATAAATGTGTGTTGAACCCACAAGTCTATCCACAGAAGACTGGCTGAATAAACCAGGGTACATCCACACAATGCTGTTCTGTGCAGCTTTACCAAAGAATGAAGCCCATCTCTGCGGAAGGCCACAAAACTCCAGGATACATCAAGTGAAAAAAGCAAGGCTGGGACCACATATACGTTGCCTTTCTTCTAACAAAGATGTGTGCTTTTGCTTACATTTTTAAGAAAAGGCAGTGGAAGTGTAAATCACAAACTAATAAAAATGGTTACATATAAGGAAAAAACAGAGTGAAGGGAATGGGAGTGGAAACTAGGCTTATTTTCATATGCTGTGTTTTATAGTTTGACTTTGGAATCATGTAAATGGCTTACATGATTATTTTTTTAAAAGGAAATAAAGCATTTTCCAAAAGAAAAAAAAAGCCACTAATCAGAGTGTATCAGGAGTTACTGACATAACTACCTGGAAAAATAAGTAACTAACTTTAAAACTCATTATTTTGACTATATATCCTTAGGGTGACACATCCTCAGGATAAAAAAGAATGGCAAAGAAATCAAACTACACTTACTAATAGTATTTGTTAGTAATAATACTAGTATTGTTGTTTAGCTGCTATTGCATGTATTTGTATTTTACATCTATATGTGTCAGTGAAATAGTAAATAAGTAATTGAATTGATATCGTTAGATACGAGGGTCTTCAGTGAGAAATGAAGGGATACAAGTGTCAAGTCAATGATGTTAGGGATAAGTTGTATAATGGAAAATTTGAATCGGCAAAGGTAGTATGAGCCATGATTAATTTTTCTCCTTCTACAAAAATACATATATGTTAGCTATGTCCACTGAAAAGGCCAAGAAGCAATGACAGTCCATTGCCTCTGAGCACCCCTAGTGTCCAAACTGATCATCTAAATGCCATTGCCCACTAAGAGGAACAAAGACCCCTTTAGGAGATGACTGATTTCAGAACTGGGGCAGGGATTGTGTAAAGATGAGCCTGTGGCATTTTCTTATGCCCCAGAGTAAGGTGGCTATCAAATACTACTGAGGTTATGTCAAAAGAGCCCAGGAGCAAAGATAAAGGGGCACCCTTTGGCTAAAGAGGGAACAGTTTGGGCTGAAGAAACAATAATGAGTGATTTATTGAAACATATCAAATGTATACAAATCCATGAATGCATAGTAATATTTTTTAAAATCGCTTATTGTTTACTCTTGTATCGCCTAAGGAACAATGTGTTTGGAAAATTGGTAAATAAGAGGGAAAAAAATCAAGCATTTATTCTGCTCTCATTATTTCAGGATACCAAAATAGTTTGTAAGGAAAATAAATGCAACAGAACAGGGGGACTGAGAGAGTCACTCTTCACAACTCATAAAGAAACACTAGGGCAAGCAACAACAGCTATTAAAAGTATGAGGTGGGGGGCACCTGGCTGGCTCAGGGAGTTGAGTAGCTCGATGGTGAGCCTGCTTCTCCCTCTGCCTGCCGCTCCCCCTGCTTGTGCGCTTGCTCTCTCTCTCTCTCTCCCTCCCTCTCTCTCTCTCTGAGAAATAAATTAAATCTTTTTTAAAAAATAAAAAATAAAAGTATGAGGTGGGGGGCACCTGGCTGGCTCAGGGAGTGGGTAGAGCATGGGACTCTTGATCTCAGGGTGGTAAGTTCAAGCCCCATCTTGGGCAGAGAGATTACTTAAAAATAAAAATTCAAGTATGTTGGTGGGAAACCTATATTGGCCGGATCAAACTAAAAACCCTGAACCCACTGATTTATCTTAACATCACTGAGTGAGACAGACAGATACCACATGCCTCCTGTTGCAATAGGAAGTACACAGCATCTACGAAATATTCTTGCACAAACATTGAACCTTCATCTAATCAAACTTCCAGATCTAACTACCAAATGGCAAGAAACACGGAGGACAAAGAAACAGATGAAAAGAGACTACGATGGTTTAATCAGTCGAATCAGGATGTGGGAAGTTCCACAAATCACCCGGTTTCTTCAATCGATGACGAGCATGAAAGAAATGGAGTAGAGGGAGAACTGATAGAGGTTAAAAGTTTATAAAGACATCTCAACCAAATGCAGTGTTGGGTCTTGTTCTCAATACGTTGGAAAAAGACATACTGAAGGCAATTGGGAGAAATTTGAACATAGACTCATTATTAGGGTGTTCGTATAATCTGTCATCTAAACAGGGCATGTTGAAAGTTAAAGTCTACAAAGGTGTAAATTGGGTCTGTCCAGGCCAACTTGATTACCCTGGGGTTGCACAATTGTGTGGAATTATTGTTAATTTTTATATTGACATTATTATGTTTAATTTTAGAAGCTCTATGTCAGAAAAGCAACTCTCAAAACTTCTAGTCTCAAAACTCTTTACACTTCTAAAAATTACTGAGTCATACTCCCAAGGATGTCTAGCATCAAGAACACTGAAAATAACGAATTTTGGTAAAGCTGTGGAGAACTGGAATGCCTATACATTGGTGGTTGAAATGTAAAATGGTGCCGCTACTGTGGAAAACAGTATGAAAGTTTCTCAAAAAGTTAAGCATAGCGTAACACAGAGTTAGACTCAGCAATTCTGGTCTTAGGTATAGAGCCCAAAGAACTAAAAACATGTATTCATACAAAAACCTGGACACAAATGTTCTTAGTAGCATTATCCATAATAGTCAAAAGTGGAAACAACCCCAACGTCCATCAACTGATGAACGAATACACACAATGTGGTATATACGTACAGTGGAATATTAGGTACAAAAAGTAATGAGGTTCTGGCACCTGCTACAATGTGGATGAGTCCTAAAGACAGTATGCTAAGTGAACTAAGCCAGACACAGAAGATTCCACGTATATCAAATGTTCAGAAGAAACAAGTCAGAGTCAGATAGAGGATGAGGAGGGGGAAGAATTGATATTGACCAATAACGGATATGGAGTTTCTTTTTTAGGATGATACGAATGTTCTGGAATTAGCTAGTAGTGACGGTTGACCAACCT